TCTCCCTATATAAGCTGGTTGATAGCTTCACTCTGAGCCGGATCGTGGTCATAGTCTTTGTTGCCATGCTTTGCCATGCCATGCCCAGCCGTGGTCATTGTCCTTGTCCTTGTCCTTGTCCTTGCCATGGAAGCAAACCAGAGCCTCTTTGCCTGTTAATCCTGCCAGTCTGAGTCTGCTAACCTGTGAGTTTCAGTTTGTTTATCTGTCCCTGAGTTTAACCTGTACTCAGAGTCTGTGGAGTTTCTGCATCTTGGGCTAGTAACCTGCTAAATCATGACACAGATATAATAACCACTTTGCCATGATTTGCAAAGCGCCTGTTGCAAAACTTTTGATCGCTTTACCCAATGAGACGCCGTTTTTGTTGTTTTGCTATTCTAGACTTATGCCTGGTCACGTCGTACTTGCTTACTGAATGCCGTGTGCGTTACTTGTATTAAAAAATAATAATAATAATAATAAGAATTACAATGGGCTCTTGCCGCACTTTGCTGCTCAGCCTAATAATTGAACTTTATTGATCTCACAGTGGAGTAATTACCTCTCTGCATTTAACCCATCCGCTTGGGGAGCAGTGGGCTGCCATTGTGTGGCACCCGGGGAGCAGTGTATTGTTAAGGGTCTTGCTCAGGAACCCAGAGTTAAGGCTGTGGGGATCGAACCGGGAACTTCTCAGAGCACAGTGCACTGCTCTGACCACTAAGCCAACACTCCCCAAAAAACATAACGTAAGTCATGCTACCCAGAGCAGCTCTGGTGCTGCCTGAAATTGATAAGAGCTTCGTTAAGCGAGCTGCCAAATGGTGCCATGGGATTGGAACACACGGAACCGGTTCTGAACAGGAACCGGTTTTCGATTCCCCTCCCTATAGGCGTGGCCCGAAGCCATTCGATGAGACAGATAACCACTAATAAGGGGGCTTGTCTGGGTAATCCCATGAATTCTACAGTTAAGCATTGCAGGGGGGCTCAGGTGGTTTCATACTGTTGCTGATTGCTTTGAATGGTTAAAAGTGATTAAAGATGGCAGGTTTGAGGATGAAATCAGACAGGTAAATTGAGGGAAGAAAAACACTTGCCCTGGTAGCAAACACTACTTTCCAAGTAGAAATCTAGAAACTTATTAGAAGGTTCACTGAATTTTGCAAATGGACAGGTTCATGTGAATTAAGTGCGTTGTTACATGTACTATAAAATCCTGGTGATGGTGAGAGTTAGCAACATAAAAGGATAAGATATGCATTTAGCTGTGGTAGTTTTTACAGCTCTTTGATCCAAACATCAGCAAAAAAAACGATACATTGACCAATTCACAAGAACAGAAGACTGAGAACAAACAACGTCCCAGGATGTTGTTCTTTCCCCTCCCTCTTTACCGAATATGCATCAGAGCAGACTTGTCCGTTCTCAAGATTGACAGCTATACCAGAATGCACTGTGGCAGCAGCTGCTTTCAATGGAGC